GGTGGGGTGGGGTGGGGTGGGGGTGGGGACAGAAGGCGTGATGGAAGGGCCAGGGCAGGACAGCCGGGTGGGGGGTGCCCTCCTCCGGCAACTCCCCGCCCCTGGGTCTCCTTCCATCCTCTCCACCCCCACCACCCAGGTGTGCAGCCCCACCTGGTCCCAGGGTCCTCATCCTGCTCACACCCGGAAAGACCTTCCCGCACCCCCACAGCTCTCCTGGTTGGGGAGGGAGGGGACCGGCTGACCCCTCCAGCTTCAGCCTACAGCTTTAAGTTCTGTCTGCTCCTAAAGGGGGCCCAAAGCTCAGGGCTGGGGAGCCTGGGGTCCCCACTTGAATCTGCAGCAGGAGGATCCTTTCCTCCCCCTCTTCCCGCTCCCTCCTTTGGGGGCAGATCAGGACACAGCAGAGGGCAGGAGGCCCCAAGAAGCTTTAAAATGCAGCCTCAGGGTGGAGCCGGGGACATTGCACTGGTCACATACACCCTGGGCCTCAGTTTTCCTTCTGGTTCAGTCATCAGATTGAAGGGCTGGATAATTGCCAGAGTGAGACTAAGGAGTCTGGACGCTGTCTCTGATGCCAACACCCCTGCCCCACTTCCTCATGGGCCACTAATGCAGAATGTACATTCTCGGCCTTTGGAGTGGACCTAGCCTGAGCCCCGCTTTACAGAAAGGAAAACTGAGGCCTAACAGAAGGAGTGATCTGGCCCAGGGTTTGGACCCCCAGTAGGAGGCAGAGCTCAGATAAGAGCAGTGTTATAGAGGGAGAAGCCAAGCTCCGCACAGTCCTGGAGTCAGTGTGTCTGGGGCCTCACACAGTACCTCGGGGCTGAGGCAGGGCCGCTTGGCGGGGAGCTGGTCCTGTCAACATCCCTGAGGGACAGTCTCCTGCTGAGGAAGGTTGTCAGAGGAACAGCAGTCAGGTCCCCATACCTGCTCAGGGAGCAGTGGAGAGGGCAGGGAACCATGAGCTCAGGTTTCACACTCACACGGGGAAGCGGGGTCGTGGATGTGGAGAGGAGGGAGCTCCATCCCGGGCTTCGCGAACCACTCCGGGGTGGGACACAGTCTGTTTCCCAGTGACCCAAGACCCAAACATACCCAGCTGTCCCAGCCCTTCCCCAGTCCCCAGCCCTGCCAGCTGCCTGGGACCCCAGCTGACCCCCAGTCCCCAGCCCCCCAGCTCGTCTGATGTGTCTGTGTGCACCTCCTCCATCCCACCCTGAGGGCAGCCCAGCCTCCCCCGGTTCCCCACACATTCCAGAATGCCCCACACCATTTGGCACAAGGAGTGGGGCAGCCCCAGAAGGAACCAGGGACTAAGGCTGGGGGGAGTGTGACGGAGAGAACAGAACATCCCCTATTTTTCCTCTAGCAAGGGTTGGTAGTGCGCGTGATGGTGTAACGGTGGGCACCCTGGCGGAGGGCCCTGTTCCTCCAGCCGCTGCTGCCCAACCTTGTCCCAGTAATCATGGCATGCACCCTTCCCTGCTCCCTACCCCCTGCCCCTGCCCCCAGCGGGCCAGCACTGCAGAGTGTGGGTGCCGGTGGCATGGCTGGAGGGGAGGGGAGACTATAGCCAAGGTGGGGCAGTGGCCGGGAACGTCGATGATACTTGTTCTCCTGATCTGTGCTGTTGCAGTCTGTCGTCACCAGCCCTGTTTTCAGTGTGTATATATGTCGCCCTGTGATGCATATATACACAGGTATTAAATATATCACTCTATATAATATTACATACGTGTGTGGTATCCAAGAAATCACTTCTAATGAAGGCTAAAGATAAAGAATTTGGCCAGAATATGCAGCCATCCTCACGTGACTAGGAGGGAATTTCGGGTCATCGGCTGTTTGCAAGGAGTTAGTGGCTGGAGTCAAGCTCAGAGGTGACTTGGGGCCTCTCTTGCTAGCCCTGTCTATCCGAGAGAACCAGAGGGCTCAGGGAAAGGGAATGATTTGTGTTTGTCTCCCAGGAAACCGGATGAGAGTGTAGTTTTCATCTTGAGGCTGGTACCACCCAGGCCCTTGGGATCTGGGGCTCTCTGGCCTGGCCAGAGCTGAATCCTCATGGGGTAGAGAAAAAGAGTGTACAGCAGGGAGTGGTAAGAGTAAGAGGACAAGAAATCGCTGTTATTAATGAGGTTAACTATGTCAGACGCGACCCCTCTCTAGGTCCTGGCTGGGAGGCTCAGAGTGGGACCTAGGGCCTATGCCCTCCCCCAGTGGGCAGGGACAGGCAGGGACAAGGTGGTGCAGCAGAGCTCAGCTGGGGTAGGATGGGGGATGCTGCATTTCACAGCTGGACAGTAATCAATTTAATGGTCCTTTTAAAATGTCTGTGTATTAAAACTAAGAATACCACACTTTAATATTAAATATCATAAGGTCTAGTATCTTGATAATAATGTAGTTGTTTTAATAACAATTTTTGTCCTTCTTAAAATAAAATGAAAGAAACTTGCTTCTTTTAGCCTTTGTTCTAGAAAATAAATGTGTGCACTTTGGCCCCTGTCCCTGAGGTGTTGCTCCTATTCCTCCCCACCTGGTACTTGGTGCCCAAGGGACATGGGCTGCTCTGTACTCAGGGGGCAGAGCCGGCTGGCACTGGCTGTGGTAGGCGGGCATTCTGAGGGGTGAGGGGCAGGCCTCTGTTCCCGGTGCACACAGTCCCAGCTGACCTGGCTCTTCTGCAGCCTGCGTGCTCCCAGCCCTCGACCTGGGGCTTCCTGGGACACCTGTTCTCTGCTGCTTTTCCGGTGCTGTTCTGGGTTCCATGCCCTTTGTGGATGCAGCGTCCCCAGGAAGGTAAGAGGTCAAGCCATGCTTTAGAGTGTGATCCCAGCTGCAACCCCACCCCCAGGCTTGAGGATAGAGTGCCCCGAGAGCCAAGGTCCATGCCCTCGAACTGCCCAGAGACTGAGGCATTTAGGCCACGTGTGCAGGATGAGGAATTGAAGCAGCCAACTTTATTGGGCACCTTGTTGGCACTGGCTACTGCAGAAAGTGTGTCTGTTCTCCATGACAACCTTGCAAGTTGCTGACCACACTTACAGCCAAGAGAGAAACAGCAGATGCTCTGAGGGCCCTCAGAAAGGAGGCCAAAAAATGACCAAGAATCTCTGAGAACTCGGTATCAGCAAAGGTTCCTCTGGTCCTGACATTATGGGATTCTAGGTACCACTCCCAGCACTGTGAATGACCAAGTGGCACAGCAAGGCACAATTCCTGAAAGAAAAGTGTAGATGTATTAAGATTAAAACAAGAGCAGGGTGTGGTAGTGCACGCCTGTAATCCCAGCACTCGGAAAGCTGAGGCAGGAGGATCACTGAGTTCGAGACCAGCCTGTGCTACATAGTGAGTTGCAGGTCAGTCTTAACTACATAGTGAGATCCTGTCTCAAAAAACAAACAAAAAAAAGATTAAGACAAGCAAGACTTCATTGAACCTAGTGGACTAGACTAAATTCTTCAATTCTTACAAATTCCTCCTATTTTTCTTCTGGTCTTTAGTTGACGCAGGTTGGTAAGCTTTGCCTGCATACCTACCCCCACCCAGACCCTGGGATGTCAGACAGCTGAAGAAACTGGTTTCTTTGAATCCAGAGTCAGCCAGAAGACTGACCTGAATAGAAGGATTTTGTGTCATTCTGATCAGTGGGTGATTACTGTTCTTTTGTTTTCTCTAAATTTTATTTCATTGTGGTTCTGCGTACCAACATAACCTGGATCTTTACAGGCAGTGCCTGATGATACTCATGCCATCCACAGGCCCCCGTGATTGAACACAGGTCTGTCTGCTTCTTGGTCTCCTTCAACCCTATGACTAGAGACAGTGGGGTGCTGATGTCACCACTCTGGGGATTTCAAAGAGCTGCCTGGGCTGGGGATTTAGCTTAGTGGTTTTACCACCTGCCTTGCAAGCGCAAGGGCCTGAGTTCAATCCCCGGTACCAAAAACAAAGAGCCAGCTGGGGCAGGTGCAGGTATCTGCAGGAAGCTGTGTCGCTGTCCAAGAAGGACTTTAACGGTTCTTCTAAAAACTGCACTGACATAATCCCCTGCCTCAGAAGCCTGCCATCCTCCTGGGAAGTACCTGAGGCCTCAGGAAAGGGCCACCATCCCCTGGGCCTACCTGATAAATGATCAGAAAGTTTGTGGCATCTTCATTGAGCCTGGACATTCAGGTGCCACACTCACCAAGGTGAGAGGGAGGGAGGCACAGTGACAGTCCTTGACCAAGTACCCCCGGGCTGGACCTCTCAGCTATACGCCATGGGCCTCCTGTCTGCCTGGGCCTACAGCTTCCCTGCGAAGAGACAGCTTCAGCACCTGTAGGACTCCTTGTTCCCATGAATTGGGGGCAAATCTCTGACAAACAATGGGTAGAGATAAAGATTGGGTTGCATGTCATCAATAAGGAAACGAGTGGACCCAGAACATCTGAGCCCAGAAACCAAGAAACAGAAAATCCCATCCCAATACACTTGCCCAGTGGCCCTTCCATGTCTCTTCCCTTCTTCCAACCTCTGCCCTCCAGCTGCCTTGCTCTGCAGCCTGCTCATGGGGGTCTCTGCCTGACCACCAGGGATACTACCAGGGAGACACCTGGGTGCACAGTGGGGTACCAACAGACTTGCAGTGGCACAGAAATATTCTAGGCTTGAGCTGGGCATGGTGGCATACACTTGTAAGCCCAGCACTTGGGAGGCTGAGGCAGGAGAATATAAGTTCGAGACCAGCCTGGGCTACATAGTAAGTTCCAGGGAAGTTTCAACTACACAGTAAGACCCTGTCTCAAAAAAGAAAAAAGAAAAAAAAATATTCCAGGCTCAGAGCTGCCTGACTGGGGATGTGACCACTTTAAACTACTCCTAGGGTCTAGCTTGGTGCCTCATCTATGGTATTTTAGTTTTCTGTTGTATAACAAAACACCTAAGGGTTGGGGACGTAGCTCAGTGGCACAACACCTGAGTGGCAAACACAATGCAGCACACAACATCCCAGACAGAGACAGAAAGCATTCGAGTTCAGGGCTCTTCCTCCTCAGAAATCCCTGCCCTCAAATCCCGTCAACAAGGGAACCTACAACCTGGAATGGGGACACGCTGAAACCACGACACGGTAACTCATGGTCCTAGAGTCTCAGATGTCCGTGAGTCTGCAGAAACCCTGAGGAGTAGATGTGCAGAGTGAAATGCCATGCAGCAGGTGGGTATTTCAAAGACATTTCGGAGCTACCTGTTGTCTCTAAAACCAAGCTCCTTGGCCAGCTGCCCACTCCACTCCCAGCTTGCCCACTTTCTGCTAAGCCAGTTTTGTACCAAAGAGGCCGCGCCATGGTTAATGTACCAGCCCAGCCTGTAGATCACAGGCCAACTCACGGTTGCACACCAGCCTCACCTCATCCTCATCCTGGGACAGCAGAGCCAGAGGGTGCTAGCTATATGGTGAGTTCAAGGCCAGCCTGAACTACATAATGATACCCTGTCTCAAAAAAGAAAAGTAATGAAGAAATTTTACCTATATGTTTACTTTTGCAAAAAGAAACATTGGAAAGATAAGTAATAAATGAAATTTGTTAGGAGATGGAATGGAGCAGGGAGACAGAGATAGAAATGACTTTTTTCAGTACCAGGGATCAAGCGCAGGACCTTGTGCTTTCAAGGTGAGGCAGTATTGGCACCTTTGAACTAAATTCCCAGCCTATAAATGACTTGTTTTTTTGAGCCAGTCTCACTAAATTGCCCAAGATGGCCCTGAACTCATGATCCTCCTGCCTTAGCCTCCCAAGTAGCTGTGATACAGGTGTGTGCCACTGCATTCAGCTAGATATACTTTTTTTTTTTGAGACAGGGTATCACTGTGTCAGGCTGGTCTTGAACTCACTAGCCTAGGCTGGCCTCCAGTCTCAGCCTCTCAAGTGCTGGGATTATAGGCATGCACCATGTTCCACCTATACTCCAAAGTAAGCCTTATCAGAGGTTTTCAGCCTTGAGCCATGTACTGGGTTTTATTCAAATAATAAAATTAATTTAAGAAAAGAACATCATTTGGAGAGGACTGTTAGGGTAGAAAAGAGAGTAATTACCCAATAAGCTGGAGCTATTGGGAGGGGAGGACCCAGAAGGGACTGCTGGAGTACTTCTAAGTAGTTCTGTTCAAAGGTGGATTTCAGGAAACACTGAAGGGTGTTGTGAGGATGAGCCACAGAGCAGAAAACCAATGATTATTACATCCAGTCCAGAGCTGCAGTCATGAAAGCTAAAAGGTCAGTGCATTCTGTAGTTCTGGAACTGAAACACAGAATCACTAAAAGTCCACCTCAGTGTGTGGCAGACATTCAGGAACCTGACACTGAGTCAGGTCTAATGCCACACGCCTGTGATCCTCCGCCTCTGGGAGGCTAAGGCAGGAAGACTGAAAGTTCAAGCCCAGCCTGGGCAATTTAGCAACTTAGCAAGATCCTCTTTCAAACAATAAAAATAAGGGAGCTGGGGATTTAGCTCAGTGGCTTCTAGGGACCTGCCTCTTCCCTCCTCCTTGGAAGGCGAAAGACCCTTAGGCTGTAGCTATCACTTTGCTTTGGAGAAAGGCCGCAGGAGCTGCCCACTACCCACGCCACATGGATGCCCTGTGTTCTGCAGGACACGTGTGTATGACATAGCCACGTCATCCAAACATGCCCCAACCCTTGAGGCTCACGCTTGCCCAGGAGCACGTGGTGCTGCCGCTAGTGTGCCCTGTGTCGTTCATGCTGAGCTGCTTGGGATGCTGGTCGCCCTTTCTTCCTGGGGCTTCAGATCCCAGCCTGATGTTTTCCCTGGCATGCCCTGCTCTCCATGGTGCCTGGGCCTCCAGGCTCCGCCTGCCGCATGCCTCGTGCCAGGGCTTGCCTGTTTTATGTGGGCGTGGAGTTCTGCTCACCGTTCTCCACTGGCAGCCCCAGTTATGGCTCCCAGCCTGGGGGAGAACTTCCCTTTGCAAAGTTAGATAACAGGCCGGGTTCTCTGTCAGAGGATTGGCGCTGTGGCTCCACGTGCTGTGGCTGGCACAGGGCCAAGTCCGCCCTGCCAAGCAGCGGGAAGGGAAGGCCTGGCTGCAGCCAGAGCTGGCAGGTGGCCGAGCTGGGGGTGGATCGGGTTCTCTGTCAGAGGATTGGCGCTGTGGCTCCACGTGCTGTGGCTGGCACAGGGCCAAGTCCGCCCTGCCAAGCAGCGGGAAGGGAAGGCCTGGCTGCAGCCAGAGCTGGCAGGTGGCCGAGCTGGGGGTGGACGGGCGGGCCAGGGCCAGTGCCGCCCATTGGCTGCCTTAGACTCCCACCCCGCCTGCCTCCCCAGCCTGCAGCTCCCGGAGCACCCCTGCCTCTAAGCTGCTTCCAAACTCCCGGAGCAGATACCTCCTGCTGGGCTATGGCGAGCTGTGACCGGATCGGAGTGGCCCCTGCCATGGACATGCCTGAGGTCCTCAAGTCCCTGCTGGAGCACTCTCTGCCTTGGCCCGAGAAGAGGACAGGTAGGAGCACAGGTGGTAGTCTGGGGGCAGGCACAGGAGCGTGGCAGGACAGCCTAGGGAGGGTCCCAGCCGAGATCTGCTGTCTTTCTGTCCCATCTTGAGCAGCAAAAAGGCTCAGTGCAAAGCCCTGGGAAGGTGTGTGGGTGCCACGCCAACTCTAGGGCTGCCCTCTAAGCCTGCTGGCTTGGGGAAGCTGTGGCCACTGTGCAGCCACTGACAGGTGCTGTGCTCACTTGGGACAAGGACAGGACACGAGCACCCCGTGGAAAGAATCCAGCTGATGCTGAATGCTTCTGAAACTCCCTCCCTCTGCACGCTGGGGGTGGGCAGAGGAGTGGCAGAGACGTAGGCCTGGGCAACAGGAGTCCATGTCTGGAGAAGAGGCTCTGTGCTGGAGGGCTAAACTCGGGGATGGGCTGGAGCTGTTATGTAACAAGACCACAAAGCTTGAAGCCCTGTGTTCCTAGGATACCACAGGCAAAAACACAGGGCAAGGGACAAGCTAAAAAAGGCGGGGAGTGAGGGACAGCCTGACAGCACCGTGTGTCTTGCAGCCCTGCCTAGTTCCCCAAATGCTGAGTTTCAGAGAGAGCTGGGGACCACCTGCTCAGGGCACTCCCTCCTCATAGGTCTCTCTCCAGAGCGCTTCTGTTCCAAGACATAGGGGATCACCCCCAGTTCCTCATTGTTCAACCACCTCACTGCCTTTAACAATTTGAGGGAACCCAGGGCCTTGCAATGCTAAGCACATGCTGTACCCCTGAGCTTCACCCCAGCCCCTCCTCACTGGCTCTAAAGGAGCCCTGCTGACCTCTGCTGGCTGAGTCTGACTCAGGAGTCCAGCATGTCCTCTCAGAGGGACGCTTCTCAGGCCTCCCCCTCATCCTGCTGTGCTGGGATATTACTTCCCTGGTTTTCCCAGTCCTTTGGCAGGACTCTCAAAGTCCACTCCAAAACTTAGGAGCCCGAAGGCAGCCCCTGGCCCCCTCTCACCCACTGGGGCCAAGCATGGGCTTATTTTTAAGTCAGTTTCAGGAGCAGTAGACTGTGGTCCTAGGGAGGCACTGCCTGAGGGGGAACAGCAACGCCCAAACCTCATGGCTTGCTCATGGGTATTTGGGCCTGGGCCTCTTAGACAATAGCCTATGGTTTCAGATGCCAGCCAAAGCAGGTGCCATCTGAGGTTGGCCTCACAGAAGGAGCCCCGTGCTCACCAGCTTCTTGCCACAAGAAGCCTACCTCCTTAGGGAAGTCGCCTGCAGCCCAGCCCGATAGATGAGTCCCAACTAGAGTCCATGCCAACAAAATGTCTTCGTTACCTCTGCGTGGCCCATGCTGGTGACCCCAGCTGGATGGATCTCCAAAAGCAAAAGTGGAGCATCCCCTTCCTGAGCCAAGCCCAGGGACATAGCACAAGGCCCTCCTGGCCTCACCCAGATGACCCAAGCCACTCCTGCACTAGAAGGCCAGCTCCCAGCTGAACAGGACAAGCCTCTTGGGGGCAACTTAGGTGTGGCTCTTTGGATGCCAGCCAGGCCTTTGAAATGTAGCAGCGAGTGCTGGTTACTGACTCCCAGCTGAGCTGCAGAGTGCTGTGACAGCGGAAGGGTCCCTGTCCCTCCATACAGTGGGCAGTCAGGGCCCAGCGCTTAGGGGAGACCCAAGGTTCCAGGCCGGTGAGTGCTGCAGAGTTACTTAGTCCAACATGGCTCAGTAAGTCTGAGGGACATAGCCTAGAACCACGGGTCACCTCCTGTCACTTCGTGTGGCACCTCAGCGAAAGTGAGCGTGAAGTCCCACAGGACTGGCAGCTGCCTGCAGCCAACTGGGAAGGTGAAATGAGGGGAAGTAGATGGAAGAGCCCAAGGCCTCAGAAAGCCCCCAATCTGTCATCACTTCCCCCCCATTCCCAGGCCCTCCAAATCCTTTATAAAAGTAAAAATGTCTCCCTGCGGAGGTGGACAAGTGCACACCCTCCACACCAGACACAATTCTGAGCAGTCAGAAGAGGCACTGCAGGTGCTCTGGTCCAAGCAGCTTCTGCCCCCACTCCCACTACTCTGGCTCCAGTGTGGACGGTAGAATGACAGCAGAGGCCACAGCTTGCCTTTTGCTCCTGGGGCGCTGCCCACAGCACCCCACTTTCTCCTTCCTGCAGCCCAGGGGCCCTGCAGAAGTTAGGTCATGGGCAGGGAAGGGGACTTCAGAGGACGCCTGTGCAGAGTGTGAGAAACCCCAGGTGTGTCTCACGCGACTGCTCCCCTACACCTGCTTGTACCATTTTGGGATTCAAAGATGCTACCCTTAGCATCCTTCTGTCTCCCGAGGGGCAGGCTCCCTTGGCTTCCTGGTGTCATTTAGTCTGTGCCACCAGTTCAACCAATTTCCCTATGGGTAAAGAAATTCATGCCCCATGCCCTGACTCAGTTTCCCAGCTCTGATCACTGCCCCCACCACCTCCCTAAGGATCCTCTTCCAGGAGGTGATTGAGCATCCTGCCAGATGCTCAATTTCTTTCTTCTTCAGCTTTGGGAAAGACTCTGAGTCTCTAAGCTATACCAGGAGCCCTTCACAGCCCCTTCCTGTACCCCTGGGAGCCTTGACTCTGCCAGCAGTGCCGCTGCCCCTCCTTGTGCCTGCTCCTCCCACTCAGGGCTCATTTCCAGGAGCCATGGAGCAAGCTGTGGAGCACTTTATTTCCTTTTTTTTTTGTCACCTGGGATCGAACCCAGCTCCTTGCACTTGGAAGGCAGAGGCAGTAGCACCACTGAGCTAAATCCCTGGTCCATGTGGAGCACTTTAAATTTGAGCAAGACTTTTGTGGGGAGCTGGGCAGGCAGTCCCTTCTGTACAAAACAGCGGGGCTCAGGAAGACGGCTGAGGGCGTTCAGAGACCAGACTGGAATCCCAATTCTGAGGAGATTCCATGTCAAGCGGTGAATGAACACACGAGCACACTGCAGTTCAGGCAGGAGTGAGACCAGTGCTGTTCTTGCTCACTGGCATTTTTTTTTTTTTTTTTTGATACCGGGGATCGAACTTGGGTCCTTGCACTTGCAAGGCAGGTGGTAGAACCACTGAGCTACATCCGCAGCCCGCTCACTGGCATTTGCAACCAGGGAGGAGAGACAGTCAACACTTGGGGTCAGGGCCAGCCTCTGCTCGGAGACATCAGGCTGAGGCCTGAAGAATGAGGAGGAGCCAGCTCTGCAAGGAACACTGGGGCTGAGGCAGTAAAGACTTCCTGTATCTGAGGAATAAAAGGGGAGCTGGGGCGGGGGAAGAAGTATAGGAGGGATTGGAGGGAACCAGAGGGTGAGAGCCTGCAGGTGTGAAGGCCAAAATGAGAAGAGAGAGGCTGGTGTGACCCTGCCCCACTATTTTGGAGGGGTACAGGCATCCCCAGAATACCCTGAGCCGGTATGACAGGGAGAGCTAAACTTCACTCAACACAGGATATGCCCCCGGCTCTGCTCTTAGCACTCTGCCCTAAATGACTTTTTTTTTTTTTTTTTTTTTTTTTTTTTTTTT